ATAGATCGGTAGGTAGGTAGGTGGGTAGATAATCAGAGAAAGAGAGAGAGAGAGAAACAGAGAAAGAAAGAGAAAGAGAGGAGCCCTCAACCACCTTCGCGCTGCCATCCTTGATTCACAACAACCAACTTCTCCTATAGGTTTCCTATTTTGAAACTTCCGCCACCGCCTTGTGCGGTACTACTGGTAGATGTATGTACATGAAAAAGTTAACACAAATATAGCACACATCATACTACAACATAACATGTTGCCATATGTTTTTTGTTTTGAATGTCCTAATACCCCGTCATGTAATGTAGTTTGATTTTGCTTGCAGGGTACTCGTATCTAAGGTTGGGGCATATGAGCAAACACTTGAGATGTTCAAGATCAAAATTATGAATCGCAAAGTTTTGGTCCATATTTGGTTGTGGATGAAGGTCACTTGTACAGCAGGTGTTACTTGTTGTTGCCTGCTACATCTTTGACGTGCATAAGTTTTGTTATTCGTGCGCTGTCTCCACGCAGACACGTGCAGACTGAACGTCGATGTGCTCCTTATTTTGGTGGTTTCAATTCAGACTACATGCGGTTTTTTACTCATCAACCGCGGGTTTTCATTGTTGCCATTTTGATGTACCCGTTTATCGTTTCATCAGAATACACCACACTCTTTTCTCAGAGATCTGCATCAAAAACTGCAGTTTCAATGTTGACGACAGTGACTTCAGCTGCTGGTTCCATCAGGAACAACATCAACACGAAGAGTAGCAACGAGGACATCAAAGGTGGGGGCTGAATCAGTATTTTTTTCCTGGATCCATGTTTAAGAAGAGCTTATTAAATCTCTAGTAAATACCTTATGTAGATGTAGATTCTAAGTTTGGGGTGGAACATAAATAAGTAATTTAAGCAATGTTGCCCATGATAAAGAAGTCCCCCAGTCTATTTTGGGGATGCTGCCACCCAAATCAATTAATCAGGGGGTGTTATTAAGCCAGGGTTGACATTACCCAAAAGGACAACTACTTAGGGCAAGATGAGAAATAGGATTTATCCATCAGAGTCATGGACGGTATCTCAGTTTCCGACTGGCTGTGATCAGCAATGATGGTGGTGGTTTGGGGGTAAAACTATGAAGACTTCGATATTAGTGTCTTATGACTACAGTAACTGGACTCTCCAAATACACCAAAGAAATTGTAAAGAAAAACACCATTTTGATGTGTACACTCCCTGAGGGTCAAACGATAGAGATGAAACAAATCCCCTTGAGTGCAGTGCTGCCATAGCTCAGGGGTCACCATAGCCAGAAATGGGGTGTGTGAAATGATATACCATGATTGTTCGTTGCATCAGTTTGTACTCAAAATCAAGATCAAACTGGCAGGGGCATTCCTTCCTTGGAAGAACTTCCAGCAGAATTCCAACAGCGAGTGGTCACCCAAATGGCAGATCGAGCAGAAGTTGATGAGCTCGTACTTCTTGCCTGTAGAGCACAACAAGCCTTCACTTCATGGGCACGTGACGTCTATGACTTTACTCACATGCACCAACTCCGTCGAAGTGCGCTGGCGGTTTTCTTGTTTGAAGCTGATCAAGTGGTTTTCATGAGATTTTTTGCACCTCTTCCTTTGGACGTTTTTCAGCTCTATTACTCCATTGTGCAATACATGTTGGATGATGAAGAGCAGAATTGGCAGTTCGTTTCCATTGACCATGCGGACAGTGCATTTCTGGATCCCCAGGCGCAATACCTGGGTCTTCGAAGAGCTGATAGGCAAGAGTTCTATGATTTTGAGGTGGCCTGTTTGGTGGAGCTGCGTTTGGCCTCAACAGCCCGTGGATCCGAGCGGTTCCAAACAGTGGAATATAAATCTCGTTTTCTTCCACGACAAATTTCACATGAAGACCTTTATGCCAGCGTTAATATTGATGATTTGTGTCGACAGGAAGACTGTCTCACTGTAGTGGATGGACGGGTTCAATTTGTCTCATCACGGCTCCTTCTACAAGAGGGTGGTTTTGTGCAGATTTTTGTGGGTGAGGATACCTCCGCTTCCAATGATTCACAGATTGCAGACATGGACAGTTGTTTGTTGCCCTCTATGGCTAGTAGGATTGCCGAACCTTCACAGCCGGTTGAGCTGCAACATGAGGAATCGCAGCGTCCTGTTGACTCTGACCATGTTTCCAGATCCCACACCGCAATTTGCTGGTTTGGATGGATGGGGCTTTTGATCATCTTCTTTGCGAAGCGTGCTACACTGATTATCCTGCTAGTGGCATACATGTTGCTCATTGGGGTTGAACGCTTTGGTGAAGCACAGCACCCTGGCCCTGCTATTTGGATTGGAACCACAAATCCGAGCGGCCTCAGGGGCAAAGAAGAATCGTACTTTACCCTTCCTCAAGGTCTATGGGGAGTTGCAGAAACCCTTTTGACAGTTCTGAATCAGCGCGATGCCAATGGGGTCATCTATCGCCTTGGTCGATCTTACAATCGCAGTTTACAGATCCATCATGGCCATCCTGTTGCACCACGTTCGGCACGTTCCTCTACTGGCACATGGGCAGGGGTCAGCATGATTACAGATCTACCTTGTAGACCACTGCACATACCATGGCCTCATTCGGAACCGACCCTTGGGCGGGTGCAGCTGTTTCAAACCTGGTGCGGACCATTTCAGATGACAGGTGCTAACTTATATGGCTGGCCACAAAGCCCGACTTGGCCTCGAGCCAAAGAGGCTACGGAGAGTTTGCTGAATCATTTGACCAAAGAACTGGTTCTGTCGCGCACAGGTCCCAGATTCATTATGGGTGATTTCAACTGCGATGTGGATGACTCCCCGAGCGTAACTGTTTGGAGAGCACAGGGTTGGGTGGATGTACAAACATGGGCTTTTCAACATCATGGCCGAGTTCCAACGTTGACTAGCAAACATTCTACCACTCTTGACCATGTCTTTTTATCTCCGGAGCTCGCCTGTTATTTAAGTGAAGTTCAGTCTTGGCAGCTGTTTGCTGATCATGCTTGTATTGGTGCTTGCCTCAACCTTCCAGTTGCACCAGTGACTCAGCAGGTTTGGCCCATGCCGGCGTATATCCCTTATGAACGAGTTGACAAAGATGGCTGGCAGCAAGCAGCTATGACCTACCAACCGCCGCGTTTGAATTCCATTGATGACCAGTTTTCTGGGTTTTGCAAAGACTTTGAACGTAGCCTGCATGGCCACATTGATCTTCCTGGACAACAACTGACTCCAGCAATGACTGGTCGTGGCCAACCATATAAGGTCGAATGCCGACCTCAGCAGTGTCCCATTCTTCATCCTTCTCGACCAGGGGAAGTGACTCCATCCTCGGATCTGTTAGGGCGCACCGTTCACAAGTGGTTTCTGCAACTTCGACGATTGCAATCCATGCTGCATGCGCTGCGGGCAGGAAAAACCACATGGGATGCAAAACTCTACCGTGTGGAACTGTGGAGGGCAATCTGTCAAGCCAAAGGTTTTGAGGACTCCTTTGCGGCGTGGTGGCGTGTTCGTCCAATTCAATGTCATGGATCCCCAACAGTTTGGCCACACAGAGTTCCCACAGTTTCGGAAATGAATTGCATCTTTTTGGACTTTGAAACCAATTCCCGGAATTTTGAAGCATGGCATGCTCGCCAGCGCCAAGACTTGTTGCAGCTGGCTTTGCAAGAAAACCATTCCAAGCTCTTTTCCATGGTGAAACCAGCTGCCAAATCGCCACTACAGCATTTGGAGGCCACGGAGGAAGCTCTGGTTTTGGGCACTTCAGATGATAGGAGTCAGCTTCATGTTGATCGGTCTTTGGACATCAACTCTTCCTGTGAGGTTGAAGTAGATGGGTTACAAGTGACTGTTGCTCAAGTGGATGGTCCTGTTCTCACTCTTCAAACACCATTGCCTGAGGACACCAATGAAGTTGTATCGATCACTAGGCATTTTTCCACGGCAGCTCAAATCCACGAGCATTTGGCCTCATTTTGGCAACAGCGTTGGTGGAAATCTCCGCCGTCTGAAGCGGATTGGAATCGAATTTTTGATTTCTGCAAAGCCTATATCCCGGAACAACCTGAGCAGCATACCGACATCACAGCCGCCAATTGGCATGACATTAACCTGCGATATGGTCAGAAAGCTGCCAGGGGTCCTGATGGTTTTGCTCGTAGAGACCTGCAGTGGATGCCACAGATGTATCAGGACAGTTTAGTCCAACAACTCAATCGTTGTGAAGAGCAGTCCATGTTTCCTCAGGCATTGTGCACGGGTTTTGCACACCCACTGCCCAAAAGACAAGATTCTTGCAAGGTTAATGATTATCGCCCAGTCATCATTTACAGCATGATTTATCGGTCTTGGTCTTCACTGCGTGCGCGTCAGCTCTTGCGGCACATCAAAAGGGTTGCTGGTCAGCATCAGTTTGGATTCCTCCCTCAGAAGGAGAACACAGAAATCTGGATGGTGCTGCAGGCATGGATTGAAGAAGCGTCTTTGGCCAACGAACCATTAGCAGGATTTGTCTCGGACATTGAAAAAGCATTTGAATGCCTGCCACGACGTCCAGTCCTATGGCTTGCCAAGCGGCTGGGCATTTCGCGCAAGATTCTGGGTCTGTGGGCCTACTTCCTTACCAACATGGAAAGGCGCTTCAATGTCTCCAATCAAGTAGGACCAGCCCTTTACTCCAATTCGGGTTTCCCGGAAGGTTGTGGTATGAGTTGCGTTGCCATGGCCTTGGTAAATTTAGTCTATCATCTCTACATGGTGGCCTATTCCAAGGTTACAGCATTGAGTTTTGTTGACAATCTGGAGCTGCTTGGTCGAGGGAGTATTGACCTTCATACCGGTATTCTCACTATGCATGCTTGGGCTGAAATGTGGCACCTTCAGTTAGACAAAGGCAAGAGCTATGTCTGGGCTAACCAGGCTGATTTGCGACAGCAATGTCAGGCCTTGGGCTGGGAGGCCAAGACGCATGCCAAAGATCTGGGAGCTCCCATGACCTATGGTAGCAAACACAGTGTGGCTAGTCTTCGCGCTCTTTGGCCTCTGTTGAGGCGGCTCAGTTGCTCTTCATGGAACAAACAACGGCTTCTTCACCAAGCCTTTTGGCCAAGAGCATATTATGGCAGTGCTATCTGCTGTATGGGTTGGCAACACACCAAACAGCTCCGAACTGAAGCGATGAAAGCCTTGCGTTTCAATCGGGGTGGAGCCAATCCGGGTATGCGACTGGCGGTGCTTTCTGAGCCCACGACAGATCCAGGTTTTTTCCAGTTTTGGCAGGTATTGCTTACCTTTCAACGAGTGGCCAACAAACAGGCTGGCTTTGTGACGCTGTGGCGCTCTTTTATGCACAAGTATCGCGGAGTTCAGTCATATGGCCCTTTTGGCAAACTGCTGGAAGTGTGTGGACAGGTAGGCTGGCGAGTGCAACCGCCGTTCATCTATGACCATGACGGAGTGGGGTTCAACCTGATCACAGTTGAGCGCAAATACATGGAGGATGTTGCTGTTGATGCATGGAGACAAGGGGTTGCTCACACTTTTGCTCAGCGCAAGGACGTGGAGGGCTTGGAGGGCATTGATTGGCGCACTTTGCATGCGGTGTTTCGACAGCTTCCACAGCATCAGAAAGAGACATTGCATGTTTTGCAAGACGGCACCTTTATTGACAGTCAAACCCAGCGCAGGTATGATCTTAGCAAAACGGGCAAATGTCGGTACTGTGGTGAAAATGATACCATGCAGCACAGATGCACCACGTGTCCTGCTCGCAGGCAAGTGTATGAGAAACATGCAGACCTGATGACACAATGGCAGGCCCTTTCTCCGGCGATGTGTCTTCGTCTACTGCCATCCAGGAATCAGTATGAGGCGCAGTTCAAGCAGATGATGGAACACTCCGAGGCAAGGTCGCTTACCTTGAAACGGCTTGCAGACCGACCACATCTTGATTTATTTACCGATGGATCCTGTTGGAACCCAGAACTTCCATGGGCATCGGTAGGAGCATGGGCAGTGGTCAGTGCCTCGCATGATGTTGTTGTAGCCAGAGGAGTCCTTGCCGGTCTTCATCAGACCAGTGATCAAGCTGAACTTCAAGCAATTTTAGTGGCAGTGGAGTTTGCAGTTTGTAACAAGGGCACAGCAACTTTGTGGACAGACAGTGCATTTGCTGCAGAGGGTGTGCATCGTCTTTTGCAGAATCTGGAAGACTGCCCTGGTGGACGCTATATATACTGATTATTGGGAGAGGCTTCAACGACTTCTACATGGACATACTCATCGTATCAACATTCAGCATGTTCCAGCTCATGTGGCCACCAGAGGCGCTTATGTAGACGTGGATGATTGGGCTGCAGGTTGGAATGATCGGGTAGATCATGAAGCCGTTACGGCACACCAATTGCGTGATCATGAGCTTGAATCCCTTCGACGTCAGATGTTGCAGGTCTACCACGATCAATGCGCACTTCTTCGGCGGTTAGTTCTCTTTCATTTGGATTTGGCTGCCAGTCACTTTGTGGCGATCACCGAGAATGTGGTTGAAAAGGAGGACACGGTCACTGGCACAGATCCAGGCGGGCTAGATGGTCATCGCCTTGCACTACACCATGATCCATGGCAAAGGGGATTACCAGATGCTTCGCCACTGGACTCGAGAGTGGTTCAGATGGCAGATAAGTTTGGGTGGCTTTTCACACAGAACATGTTTGCGTGGCTGAAGGGGCAGGCATCAGATGAGGCTGTGGTTGCCTATCAGATGTCATACTTAGAATTGGCCGTGCATCATGGTTCAGGACAGGTGAACACCAAACTTCCAGTTCCGGATCCCAATCGGAAGCTTTGCTGGGTTGACCCATCCAATTTGCCGGCAGCGGCAGTGAGTAGACCGACCGTTGCAGCGATTCTGCGATTACTCCAGAATTTTTTCGTTGCATTGGAAGATTCTTTTGATTTTGGTCTCCAATTTGTGCATCATTTGGATTTGACACAGTTGGGAGCACTGACACCTCAAAGAGGTGTGACTTTGCTGATCAGTCGCGACACTGTCAATATGATAGGAAGGCAACTGGCAGCGTTTACACAAAAACGTCCCATTAGGAAGGCTGGTGACTTAACCAGGCCAGTTCGATAGGGGCCAATGAGACCATAACGGTCACTGCCTCAGCTGTGACCTTATGACAGATGAGTCCGCGCGTGATGGGTACACTCCCTGAGGGTCAAACGATAGAGATGAAACAAATCCCCTTGAGTGCATTGCTGCCATAGCTCAGGGGTCACCATAGCCAGAAATGGGGTGTGTGAAATGATATACCATGATTGTTCGTTGCATCAGTTTGTACTCAAAATCATATCATTTAGGTATGGCACTGTTGGTTCTATCACCAAAATAATTACTGGATCCTTATTATTATAAAACCCGATATACTTATATATTCAAAGGACATGTCCAATATTGCTGTTGACTACACCACCAGTACGATGCCATCACTGCCATCACCATTATTGCAAACAAGGAACATTATTATGAATGTATCCACCACAAAAAACATAGTCTTTATGTTTTGCTTATTTTGATTGAGGAAGGCATGCGCACGATTTTCTCGCGTATGACAGTTCACACACAGAAGCATCATGGATGCTATGGTGTTTATTTATATACGTTTTTTTAACATCCAAGTTAATTATTGCTTTTCGACTGACTTAAAGTTTAGTTAGCAGTTAGCACATTCTTGCCAAATACTGCTGGCTATCCCAGAAATGGAAGGCTCACTTCACAGGACAACCCCAAACAACGGTGTCCCCGTCAACCTTTTCCCCTCAATCAATGAAATGACTGAAACCCATTCTAGGTCATACGGGTGTGCCTGATAATCCTGTATAGATTTCCAGTATACTGGGACACTGAGGTTCTAATCATTCTAATCCAATGGACATTGGAGTTTTCACGCATTTCCAAAAGACAATCGCCATGGGACCATGGGGATTTTCCCTTGATTTTTCCACATCTCCCTCACCAAAAATCCCTGGGAATTTCGCCAAAAGCTTGAGCCATCACCGTTTGCATCGAAAGTCAACAGCTCGGTACAAGGTGGTGCCAGAAAGTTATGTTTGTTGGTTTATCATGGTTTATCAACCATAGGAAGTATAGGAAAGGTTAGGAAAGTATAGATATATCTACCATAAACCCATGGATTTCAGCTACCCTCTGGTTATTTAACATAGCCATGGGAAATCACCATTTTTAAGAACGGTAAACCATCTATTTCGATTAGGGCCATCTATACCATAGCCCTGTTCGTCAGAACCAGATGGCCAGGTCATTGCCGGTCGCCAGCGCTTCCCTACCAACTCTGTCGGGTGCACATCCAAGGTGGGGACCGTTGGAGGAAGTGGCTGGCAACATGGTGAGAACGTTGGGTGAAAACACCTACAAAAACCACAATAAATGGATATACATGGATAAATTGATTTAAATGTGTGGTATAATGGATATAAATGGATATACTGTACAGTAAATGGATATATATATATATATATGTATACTGTATACACATTATATAAATATAAATGGTTAACCCTTGAGCCGGTATAAATGGTTACAAATGGGGTTATCATTCCACAAATGGGCTTGTAACTGACTTACAACCAGTAAAGGGCCATAACTGTACCAAGAAAAAGATAATGTGGTAAACCCAATGCCATAAACCTACCATTTGGGGATAGTTTATACTAACCCACTTACCATGATTTGGTGATTGTTCATTATTGAGTTTGCAACAACTACTAATCCAACTATTAATCCGATCCGCTTAATATTAGTTGCAGAAAAAATACGTCGACCACTTCCGCAACATTGAATTTCACCAACAAACCATTGGCCTTTTTTCGCTTTGTTTTATGAGTGTAATGTCATGGGATCCTCCTCCCCCCAAAATCAGGCTTGATGTTTGTTATTTCGAAAAAATACATGTTGGTGAATCTCTCTGCAAATACCAAACACGGGGGTAATAACTTAGTATACCCGTTTTTACGTGGGATCTATAAACCCATTTCAAATCTGGTGCACATTCAATCGCTAGACATCGTTGTCTTGGGTGTTTGTGCGTGTCTTATCACACAGGCGACCTCAAGGTCAGGTCAGCTGGCACGGACTCCCAGAGGGCATCGATGACCATACCCTCTTACTCTACCATATTGAATAATACCAACCATTTGAAATCAAATACACCATTTTTTATCATATCCGTATAGATGTTTTTTTTCTCATGGCCTTTAAATATGTTCCCCAGCTTATACTCCCATGTTTGCGCATTCGTCTCTCGCCACCAGGCTGCTGGCAAGATCTGGGCACTGAAGAGCGGAAGAGTTTCCTGTACCTTGCTTTGGTGCGGAACGACAAGGTGCGCTGCATCGCTCAAAACCGACGGTCTGAGTGACGGGATGAATTCGACTTGAGTCGAGTCCACCCGTTGACCAGAATGATTGGGAAAACGATTGGGGAACGTGTCCTGGAATTATATAGGAAGGATACACGTAAATGACCACTTGTAATGGCTGCTTAATGCGGGTCTAGGTATACGCATGGATATTTCTATATATGTAAGTACCTTTGCTCATACATAATAGGATGGGTTGTATCCACACAATGCAAGTTCTAGCCTTTTTTGTGGGACTGCCATGCACTGCGTCTGGGCCTATTCAGGAGGGTCCAACCTATCTCCTTTCATTGGAATGATTCCAACCAGAGGACAACCATTGGTGAAATCCAACCTTCATGTCCCAGTCTGGTTTGCAATGATTTCAAGGAAAGGTCACAAGAGGTTCATATCATCACCACCACCAGCAGAATCATCATCATCATCATCATCATCATCACCGTCCTCCTCCTCATCATCAGCGGCAGCATCGTCATCATCGTCATCATCGTCGCATAATGATATAACAACAATAGTAATGATAATTGTTCTCTTTAGTTCAGCAGTTTTATGTCATGATTATCTTAATTAAGTCGTATTCCTTTCGCAGGTTACACTCCATTTAAAGTGCATGTTTAGATCTATCTGAAACTCACTGTCCAAGCAACTGAAATCATGGTGAACCCACAGCCGTTTCAAACGACCGCATGTTCGGAGGAATTGCACTGCAGAAGAATCAGCGGCAAAGAGCCAATTCCACGAGAGCGTACAAACTTCAACATCTGTTGCTTGGTGCAACAGGGATTGGTAAATGTCCCATTTTGGGTATATTGGACATCACCTTATAGTAGCCTTTATAGACCATATACCTAATGGTTGGGTGATGTTCAATGGGGACATTTAATGACCCAAGTGCAAACTCAAAGAGTTTGAACACCAAAATCTGCAGATCCCAGCCTCCAAACAGATCGTTTTAAGTCAAGTCCTATAAAAATAGGTTACTAATACCCTTATCATCCCTTATGTCTTTGGGGTGCTATGAACCAACATGGAAACCTTACGAGTATGGCTGGCGATCATGGTTTTGCAAGTGAAAATAAACTATAAAGGGGAAACATGTGACTTTGCATCTGCCCATTCCACCCCGTGATCTGGGGTGATTTGCAACTTTTTTTTGTCGGATGTGTCCAACTATTTTTTGCTGTGGGTGCTACACATATGATAGACACGTAGGGGTAAGGGTCAAAAATCTGGAATCCTAAACATTGGATCGTTCCTACTCAGCATGACCATATGGAGGTTTTCTGAAAATGGGTGCTACTGTACCCCCAAATCATCTAAAGTTAGACCATTTTAGTATTGAAACCTTGGGGATCCTCCATTTCAAGAAGCCCACATATTCAGTGATAAACCATATTCGGTAGGGGGCACCACCTTGTGCACAAGTCCTCCTTCACCGGGAACCCAATCGCCCCAGTATTGCGTGGTGAGCCCAGAAAACAGATGAACATTGTGTGGATACCAGCTGAGTAAACACCAAATATGTTGCACATTTTTGGTTGCCATTTTACAGAACAGATACATTTAATTCTGTATGTAAGTATGCTGTACACCATTTTATATTGTGTTCAAAATGTACTGTGAATGCCGCATCATATCATACTGTGAATGTATGTTTCTCGAATGCGGAGCCAACAGTTCTGTTTGTTGGTTTGAAACCAATCCAACAATCTGAATATATATATATATTTATTCATTTATTTATTTATTTACATCTATTTACCATAAACCATAGTAAACCTATGGTTGGAAACCAACTTACCCATGTTGACCCCATATTGTACCTGGTTTGCCTGCTTTACAGAATTCTACAAAGTGGTGCCCTCTACCTTGCAAAGTTGGTCTATAAGTGGGCTAATGGTTTATTTCAATATATATAGTTAAATGGGTAAACATAGGCCAAGTGTATCCCCATATGTTTCACGGTTATGACATATATAGTCCCTATAAATGATAGTGAAATCGTCATGAAAGCAACAAACATCACTGGTATTGGCAGCGTTTTGTTTCACCAGGCTTTGATCGGGGCATGGTGCTGGTGCAAGACGCCAAAGTGGGCGATCACTTCGAGTTGAAGTATCAAGTGGGAAAGCGCTGCCGGCCGCTGTTCTCAAAAGAGAGGGGGGGTTAGCCAAGTATATACCGGTTGACCCTCCGTTGCCATAAACATGGTGTTTTACCCCATATAATTCTAGTACTTGACCAATTTTTGTTGGGTAGGTGAAAGTGCGGTCTATGTAGAGATTTATCACCGAAAACACAGCTGTAATCCGGATCCATGGGACAATCTGTTCGCCTGGTTGGTGGTTTGGAACATGTTTTATTTTCCATAATATATGGGAATAATCCTTCCCATTGACTTTCATATTTTTCAGAGGGGTAGGTCAACCACCAGCCAGGTTAGCTGTAGTAATTACCAAACATGGCATGTGAAACTACGGATTAAGATCCTAAGGGGTCAAACATGGTCTGAGGAATTGTAAGGAATAAACATCGGAATTGAGCGAGCAAGAATTGGAATGTAACTCGCAATATTGAAAGGGTAACCGCCACGAACAAGACTGGAAATATAGCTAGCATACATATGTGGATTGGTAAGATTACTAATTCAAACAACCCAACAAAACACAACATAAAATGGCAACCATGAGATCTGGATAGTTCATTGCGATGCTTGCTGGCATCACCATGATTTCATGGATGGAATTGTCAATTTGATGGCCTACAGTTGATCCCTCTCATCGAGGTTTCCTGCAAGTGGGGTACCCCAATAGCTGGATGGTTAGTAGAACATCCCAATCTAAAAATGGATGATTTCTGGGTACCCCTATTTCAGGAAACCCAAAAAATGTGTATATATATATAATATTTGTTAAACAAGCACTTGCCCATCTTTCTGGGGTTACTTTTTCAGATACGACCCATCAATATATGACAAAAATGGGAAACCCAGCAGGTTGGTGGCCAGTGGCATAAGCGTGGTGATGGTGAAAAGAGATGTGGAAGACCTTGAGCACCAGACGGAGTGCCAACAGGCCACGTTTTTGGAGCCAGAATTCCGCACCATTCCCTAAGAGCTGGAGGCTTTTCTTCATGGAAAATCCAAAAGAAATGGATGATGACTGGGGGGCACCCCCATATCTATATAGATAGACAGATAGATAGTTAGATAGATAGATAGATATCCTCCACTGCGGAACTACGTGGTAGCACTGAGCCAAATCTTTCGCGAAGAGAATGAGATGGGAGCCCAGAACTCTGTTAAAAATTCATGGAGGATGAAGCCATGGAAGGAACTGTCCTACACATCTTCCCTGCTTCCTTGCTTCCTGGGTATAGGATGAGGTCGTTGGAAGAGCCCAGCTGCCGGGTCACTTCACATGCTACAGCTGCTACAGCGGCTATTTGTGGATGATCATCCCTCCGAAAAGATGGCCATGTAGGGTTTTAGCGCATCCCCAAATGCTGCGGCCATGGTCATAGACCCAGTGAGTCGCTGAAACTACCGACAGTTCAGTGTTGGCCAATGAGCTTCGCTATGAAATTACACCAATGATCAATCATGGTTTCCCGGTTCAGAACAGGATTCCCATGGATTCCCAAAATCAATGACTTGTAGCTGAGAAATGCCACAGAAATGCTGAAAACGATGGGGAATATATTGGGGAGATTCGAATTTCATGGTGCTTCCCCATGGCCAAGGTGGTCCAATGAGCTCTATCGAACATCAAACTATGGATGTCATCACTATGGTGTTTGATTAAAGTGATGTCACATAGTCCTTCAATGTGTTTCATGAAAAAATCTATGATGTTTAGACCAACTGAAATACAATAGGCACCTGGTGATGTTCTCCAGGTCACGGCCAAAGTGCCCACCACTGGGCGCTGTGTCAACCCCATTTGTTCCTACGCGGCAGAGACGAATGGATTTTGCTGCACAGAGTGTAAGCAGATGAAGCAGCAAAGCAGCTGTGGAGCACTGCGAAATCTCCGGGTCTTCGAGGCTTGAGGATTTTCAATGTGCCTTGGTGCTAAAACACGTGCACTAATGGTATTTTTGTTGGGTCAGATGGCTTTGGATGTACACCATTGCTTACAACATGTGATTTTTGGGGAGAGGAAAGGGTGCGAAGGGGCCAAATTGGCACAGGCAGCACTTCCGCGCAGAGCTTTGCAAACAAATGAGATGCATATCAAGTGAAACAATTTAATTTGGCCTAGCGAAAGCTTCCACGTTTCATCGCGGTGCATTTTCCAGTGCCAGCTGCCCATGCTGGGTCCATGTTTTGGAAAATCGTACATCTTGAGCCAATATAATATATATATATACCTAAACTGAATGGAAGCTAAAAATATTATAAGATATTAATCCCAAGTTGCTTTATTTTTCACGTGGACCAAGAATAACTAAATGTTAAAACCTTTGCCGTTTTCCTGAGGTCTATCAGGAGTTGTGGCGTTGACATCCTCCGTTGGAATGATCCACTTCCACTGCTGGTGGCGCTCTGAGAATGCCAACAGCAAGTTGAGACTCTGTCTTCTTCGCAAGAAGTCAGCAGCTCGGAACTGAGTACATGGTAATTTAACGGGATTTATGTGAGATTCATATGGAATCTATGGGAGTTTATGGAAGTCTATGGTCATTTAATGCCTACTGGAGGGGGCGAAAAGAAATCATTAGTCAGTCCCACATGGTGATTGGGGTCAAGCGATTGGATGCCCTTTGGGTGACCCATTTTTTAAATAATTTGATTGCAGAACCATCGAGGGAGACGGTAAATCAAGAGGGCCTAGTGATGAGAAAATATGAGAAATGTATATTTCTTTGAATGTGTGTTGACTGAAATCTTAAACGCTGGATTTGTTTGAAATTGAATTTCATATTTGCAGTCGCCAGATCAGATGAGTCCCCGGGAAACCATGCAGAAAAAAACGTCCCCCTGAGATTGAATGAGGGAGTATAGCCAAGGGACCGAAATTGTACTTAATTTTGATGGGACTTATTTCTACAATGCCATGAATAGGCAAATGCTTGCGCAGTACTCCGTACTCTGTGATTTTTGAAGTGAATCCGACGGCGGGATGTAATTTCACAGCAGTGGGTAAGTTCCAGAATTTACACTATTTATGTATGATCTAGCTAGATCCAACTACAAAAAAACTGACGGGGTTCTTCCCATATCTGTTTCATTCTGTTTCAGTGGTTTGTTCCAGAAAAATCATGTACAATCAGAGATTTCTCCATCATTTTCCAGTTCCAGCTGAGTTTCTATCACTTCACCATTGGTTTTACCAGAACTGCCAGGAGATTTCCTCAGTGCTCTTGTGCGATGATGCACCGGCAGAGTGGCAGCTCTTGCAGAAGGTCTTCGTTGCGAGTGACCATGCGCTGCTGCAGGATGGGCAGGTTTTGGTGAGAGAGGCGTTCGAAAAAAAAAACGTTTCTTTGTTGTACAATGTACCGTTTGGATTGATTTTGATTGCTGGATTGCTTGATTGCTTGCTTGATTGCTTGATGGATTGACTGCTTGATCGATTGCTTGACTGCTTGCTTGATTGATTGATTGATTGATTGCTTGTTTGATTGCTTGCTTGCTTGATTGCTTGCTTAATTGCTTGCTTGCTTGATTGCTTGATTGATTGCTTGATTGCTTGCTTGATTGCTTGATTGATTGCTGAATTGCTTGCTTGCTTGCTTGCTTGATTGATTGATGGCTTGATTGCTTGCTTGTTTGATTGATTGCTTGATTGCTTGCTTGTTTGCTTGATTGATTGCTTGCCTGATTGCTTGATTGATGGCTTGATTGCTTGCTTGATTGCTTGATTGATTGCTTGATTGCTTGATTGATTGCTTGATTGATTGCTTGCTTGATTGCTTGATTGATTGCTGAAGTGCGTGCTTGCTTGATTGTTCGATTGCTTGATTGATTGATTGCTTGATTGGTTGCTTGATTGATTGCTTGATTGCTTGATTGATTGCTTGCTTGATTGCTTGATTGATTGCTGAATTGCTTGCTTGACTGATTGCTTGCTTGATTGCTTGATTGATTTATTGATTGCTTGCTTGATTGTTCGATTGCTTGATTGATTGATTGCTTGATTGGTTGATTGATTGATTGATGGATGGATTGCTTGATTGCTTGATGGTTGCTGCCGCTGCTGCTGCTGATTATGATGTCGTTGATGATGATGATGATGTTTTTTGTTAATGTCAATCATGATTGCAAAGTACTGTTGTTTATTTGATTTTCCCTCGTGATCTCGCAGGAAGCTCAGGCGGGCGATGAGCTGCAAGTGCAATATAAAGTGGCCGGGAAATTGGCCGCTTGGATCTGACGTTTGGCGGTATCGATGGTGAATCCGTGTGAACCCAAAAATACTTGTAATAGAAATATATAGAAATAACGGGGACAATCCTCTACTCGTAATGATGGAAATAAAATAATAGGAGGTTTCATGGGATTTGAGCTCAAAACTTGATATCTTGGGACTGAACCAGTAGATTCACAATCATAAAGACTTGTGACTGAACCAGTGGGTTTTGTAGCATTTTCAACTACAACCACCACTACACCACACTACACTCCAATACACGACACTACAACTACAACTACACCTTCACTTCACTACAGTCCACTACACTACACCACACTCAATTGAACTCAATTACAGTACACTACACTCCACTACACTACACTGACATTACATTGCACTACACTACACTACATTCCACTACACTACACTCCACTACACTACACTGACACTACATTGCACTACACTACACTACATTCCACTACACTGCACTACATTACACTGCACTACACTACAACTACACTACACTACATTCCACTATACTACACTCCACTACACTCCACTACACTACACTCAATTACACTACACTACACTACATTACACTACGCTACACTACACTACATTCCACTACAATACACTACACCTACAACTACAACTACAACTGCAACTACACATCTACAATTACAACTACAACTACAATTACAATACATTACATAACACTACAGTACAGCACAGTACAACTACAACTACAACTACAACTATATCTACAACTACAACTACAACTACAACTACACTAATTGCATTACACTATGCTACACTGCACAACACACTACACTACACTACACTGCACAGCACTGCACTGCACTGCACTACACTACACTACACCACACACCACACACAACACACAACACACAACACACAACAGACTACACACTACACACTACACACTACACACTACACACTACACACTACACACTACACACTACACACTACACACTACACACTACACACTACACACTACACACTACACACTACACTAATTGCATTACACTACACTACACTACACCACACTACACCACACCACACCACACTACACTACACTACCCCACATTGCATTACATTACATTACATTACAATACACTCATTACATGACCACAAATGCAACTGCAACTACACTACACTAATTACACCACACCATAACTACAACTCCACTACACTACAACTACAACTACAGCTGCACTACACCACACTACATCCAGCAGTTGTGGGTGAGGTGACCGACCAGGTGACCACTGCAACCATTGCAGCCCCTCCAAAAACACAGCTCCAACCACCTTTCGGTCCATCAGTGGCTTCGCTCTGCCATCCGTGATTTACAGCAACCAAACTCTCCTATAGGTCTCCTATTTTTGAAACTTCCGCCACCGCCTTGTGCGGCACTACTGGTATATAATTAATATACTGTATGCAGATTTAATTTCGACATATGCTTATTCAGTACCATAAATTAGTATAACTATAAAAACACCAGTGCATCATATTTTCGTCCTCCAAAAATGATTTTTCGCTTGCCCAGGAGGTGAATCAGATCACCATCACCACGTGCCACGGCGAATGTCATCATGCCGCGTCCAGCTGCCGCTGGCCGGCGCCAGAGCGCAAGCCACCCGGTGGCGTGAGGCTATGAGAGCTATGTGGAACCAGTGGAAGCACTGGAACCTGGAAGAAACTGGTGGTTTTTAACCGGCCAAAATAGGAGTTGATCCGGCCAACACAAGGAGTTCAAACGGCAAAATGTGAGTTTTATGTGGTTTTAACCTGGAGGGTATTAAGGCAAACTGGACCGGTTCAAGAATATTCAAGTTTCCGGGGTCCATGTTCAGGAACATGGAATGATGCCTTCAAAAAAACATAAAAATGAACACCAGAAACACAAATCCTAAGTTTGAGATCGAACATGGACCAATCTTAACTGTCTTAATAACCGTCCATCATCAGAAATACGGGTTGTTTTATTTTTTTTGTTGGCGTCAGCTTCAGTGATTGGGATCAATCCATCAGACATGGCGATTGAATCTGTGTGTAAGCAATGAGTATCACCATGGAGCACCATGCATTATGAATATCCAGGAATTTGAACTGGGATTCTACGTATAGGACCTAATGTGAACATGATCCAGGGATTTTTCTATGGTTGAATCCAGCAGAAATCCATGGTTTTGTCCTGGTTTTGTCCTAAGTTTAGGAAGATCGAAGCAACCGAAAAATGTAGTGATCGAACTATCGAACCAGCCGTGATGGGGATGCTCGTCCAACATCAGGGCCCCGTTGGGGTCCAAATCCACTGATGAATAATCATGACCACATTTCTGGGTTCCAAATGTCGTTTCTAAACGTGTCCGATCATGGGTTGGTAAGTATGAACACGTCTCTCAAATTTTCACCGCAATGTCAAAGTGAATCAAACTAAACAACAGCAGAAGTCAGAGTTTCTGTTGGCCATCCCCTTGTTGGGGTCACAAGATTCAGAAGTGCACACAAGAACGCGTGGGAACATGTTAATTGGTTTTCAAACATGTATTCTGAACCAGCAACTACAACACAGGGTATGGACCGTATGGATGTAGATGTAATTCTTGGGTATCTACCACTGTCTGGGTTGGGGGACGGTGTTGAACCACTTATCCTGAGAAATAGATCAAAATTAGTCAACAAGGAAACAAGTACACGATGCAAGTTCCTCAGGTATTTGTCCCCATATTCGTTCTCTAGTTTGTATTGAGGGTTTCAAACCTGGTGCTGTTCCAAGAAGTTTGAGACTAAATACACAGTTTTTTTCAAAATAGGTGGTATAAACATGTATAAACCATCAAAATTGGAGAATTACCATTGGGTCAACCCCGGTTTACCACTACATAGTTCAATTTTTGGGTGGCGTCATCAAGGTCATGAACGATTCAGACTGTTCAGTACGCTAGGGCCGACATGAAATCCCGTTGGGCCTTATGGGTTGAAGCCCGAAAAACATGCTGCCTGGTGGTTTGAAGCATTTCACCCCTGACTCACATTTTGGGTCAGCGTGTTGCTCATAACTCAGACATACTCAGACGCTCAGAAAGCCCAAACAATATCAAACAAAGCCCTAGGCTTGTATAGTTTTGTTGATGTGGTGTCGGCTTAAAATGAAGCACGAAATGTCAGGAAATCATGAATTCATAGGGTCCTGGCATGGCAAAAACTTCAGTTCCAGATGGCTCGGTCCTCACTGAATTCATGAATTCAGTGTCAGCACTTGCCGCTGAAGAAGTTAGCGCCACATGGCACCAGAACCACACCATAGAGGGCTGGTTCGATGTGTCAATTGACGGGTTTTGCTTGTAAATCCAGCAAGTCTGTCAGGTCACGCGTTCTTTCCTGGTGTAGGAATCCTTGCTTATTGGGGAAACCGGGGAAACAACAGAAAAAACATCATGTGTTTGTGGGGACCTTAAGTAGCTTTAGTAGCAAGCAAAACATCATTTGCGAATAAGTGTGAGACAGAGGGACAACTCGAACATGTTCATTCCAGATTCCGGCATACTGTTGCATACCTGCTAATTTTACAGGTTCATCTCCCAAAGTTTGTCGTGAAATCCGACACAGCCCTGTGGGGGGGATCCAATTCGACTGGTAAGTGGCTGAATTTTCAATCATCTGAGGCTTGAAGTCGAGGTTTCTCCCCAAAATTGCTGGATCACAGAATGTGGTGTTTGTTCAAGTAGACCAAGTGGCGACTTGTTGGGGAACTCTTTTTTTTTTCAGAACCAAATGGTCAACCGATAGCACTTGAGAGACGAGATTGGTCGGTTTGTGCGGTCAGCTGGTGGCGGTCTTGGGAAAAATCGTATGGCCTTTTGATTTGGATTGGTCTGAAAATAATGTATCCCTGAATCCAATGGTTGATATTGGTTAATCATCATGCTCCCTATTAAATAGCCATAGTTGGGGGTAGATCATATTTTCAGGCAGGGCTGTTAGTCCAGAAAGCATGGGGCACATGTGACCCACAGCCAGGGCCAACTACAAACCTTCCGCGCTCATTTTCTCGCTGGTGTAAGTTTTTGTTTCTTTTTGCCGAGTGCATTCATCTCGCATCCCATATCATCGGATCCTGGTTTTATCATCATGTTCCATCGTTTTCCCATATTTTCAATATATGTTCATACAGACTTATTGAATTTGAAGAGAACTTTGCCATAGATTTTGTCTTAAAATACCCCATGTCCATCCATTTCCGTGACACACAAAAGGAGTTCTTGTCACTGATGCGGAATGTGCCTTCGGCACGTGCCCGTTCTGGGATGATCGCCGTGGAGATTTTCTGAGGGAACATCAGGAACATCCACTTTTTTTTCTGGAGGAAAAACTGTTTTTGTGGAAAAAATGTATGGACTACAGAAAAAGATAATCAACTATTAATACCTAGCGAGCCTGAACCCTAACATTTTGTAGGTTTTTCATCGAATCCCCGGGTTTTTCCCAAATTTCATTAAAATATGGGTTTTCTTCCAAAAACCCCGGGTTTTGTATATATATATATGTATACTAAAGGGCTTTTTGGGGAAACTGATCATGTTTCTAAATATATCAATATAATCATACTTAGCCAAACCCTTCCTTGGACAGCCTGCCTTGCTTCAGGTCGCCAACAGGAGCATCCACGATCAAGGATGTACTATGTAAATTCCTGATTTTATATTTTATACTTTCACTTTGCTTATGACCTAGCGAGCCTGCACATTGGAAGCCGCTGATTCCTAAGAACCTGGATGCCTGAGCCCAACGGATGGTGAAAACTTATAAATACAACAATTTTCATTGGTTTGGGTCAGAAGAAATTTGAATTCGGCTTTTTAATTCATGGATGATTCCAAACATGAAAAAAAATCAGCCAAAATCTGGACCTGGAAAATGAATCCAATTACGAACAAACAGGTGGTTTTTGTTTTTTTTTCCGGACTATATGATGTTTTTTTTATGATTTTCAAGATTTTGGCTGAAAATTAAGGGTTTTTTGGAAAAACCCGTATTTTCCCGTACTTATCCCGTATTTAACCCGTACAAAACCCGTATTTTTTGATTTTCCTAAAAACCCCGGGTTTTAAAAACCCGTATTTAACCCGTACAAAACCCGTAATTAACCCGTACAAACCCGTAGAAAAAATATGGGTTTTTTGGGCCCCGGGCTGAAGGCCAACAGTAGCGGATTTTTAGGTCCGATTGCTGTTTTGCGAGAAGATGCCAAACCGGCATCGAAAATTAGATGGGAAAAATGGATACAGCCTTCAAATTTACATGGCGTACCGCGGAAAATTAATAAATCATCTCCAGGCACCATGTTTTCTGTAAGTTTGACGGTGGTTCAAATTCGCAGCCTTGTTGGACTGGAACGGACTGTAGTTGGATTGTAGTGAGTATGGCGCCAAAACATGTGTCTACTCGTATAGGGATATTTACGAGGATGAAGAAAAAGTGTGGAGCATTTGGCCAGGGTGCAACGCATCATATGGCATGATTTTGAATTTCTCAAAGATTTTCAAACATTCAGACAGGATTTCAAACAGAATGATCACAAAACGGGAAAGATCATGACAGATCATGGAAATTCAAACATGATGAAAAACATGGCTTTTCAAAACCCCGGGTTTTGATGCGAAACCCCGGGTTTTCTCTCAGACCCTACGATTTCATAGGTTCTTGGTTCCACTGGTATATTTAATATGGACTATATATGGAGGTTTCTAGTTGGAAAATCAAGTATATAGTTCTGGATTTGCTGAAGATGTCTGAAGATGTTGTTGATTTTCGAAATGGGAAATCCCACGTATCTTTGGGGAATTGGTTATTTGATTAAGGAAGTAATTATTGGGGGGGTCGTGATGCAAATCTAGTTTCTGTCTCCGTATATCCAGTTTGACCCTCGGTTTGTATCGCCAAAACAGCAGTATTTGACCCCAAAAAAATATGGTACTCAACTTGCAGGTTCTCGGTGCATGAACTAAAATACCTCACATCGCGACGTCAAGAGGTCAATGATGCTTAGGATTGGGGGTATCATCTTCAAATGACCTAAGTGCAGGTTGGTGAATTACCATAATTTATCCATGGTAACCCTGACAGTCATTGGTGACTCTTGCAAAGATAAAGAGACACTTATGTACAAGGTTAAAATGAGTCATCGGCATTATCAGGGTGTGTAATAAAATTAAAAAGCAGGTCGCAATTACATGCAATTACAGTAGAAGCTTATTTTAAAAAAAGATCATCCCAGCTTTGCATGTTCACACTCTCGCCCTTGAACCCGCTCCGACGCAGAAGGGGGTGTGCTGCCCTCGAACATTCGGTGCCTTGAGCGGTTTCCTTTAGTGTAAACTAACTTTCAGATGGGCAGTGCTTCCGAGTCTCTGATAGGTGCCCAAACGGGGGCACCTCCCCAAATTGGCATCTGAAGAACCACTGCCCATACGCAATGATTTGATGCGACAGCACTACTTCTTGCATTCGATGCCGAAAAGAAGAGCTGACGCTTCGGGCTTGGTACTTTGTGCTTGGAGGATCAGTAGTATTACTGGGGGCGACCGGGGGTGATTACAAGGTTCTGGGTTGGGGATATAATATAATAATCCAATTACATACATTCCAAATTTA